CGCCCCTTTAATATGATTTATTTTTAAAATTTATATTTTTAAATAACTTTTACATATTTTTCAAAAAAATGTGAATTATAATCTATAAAATTTTTACCTAATTTTAAAGTAGATACGTTTCTAAGCATATTTGCAAAAAATTAAGAGTTTTTTATTCAAAATTTTCTAAGATATATGTGGATTTATATATTGGCATGTTTTGAAGTGTGGCATAGTTGTTATAATTGCTAACATAAATTTGGTTTATGCACTCTGTTAAAATTATTTGAAAGAAAGAACAATGACTTTTCCCTGCTCGTATACAATGAAAAAAAGGGGGAAGGGAAATAGGTTGCTATGAATTAAGAAGTTGACCAGGTGAATTATACTTGGTGCATACTGAAAAACATACACCAAGATAAAATTGTGAATTTCTCCGTAAATTTCGCTCCAAATTTGACAAAATAAAAATTTAGACATAATTTGAGACATAGAATTAATATATGGAAAAAAATTGGCATGTTATTTCAGAAAAGTCCAATTTGTGTCAAAATACATATATTGCAATTGAACTATGTTATATATATCTAATATATATTCTAAGTCTTTTCGGGGTATGAAAAATGCAGTTCGAATTTTGTCAATCGACCCAGCAGAACGGGAATTATAGCACTGTCCCCCCTATTTTTTTGCGCAGTGTACTTCAGTATATGGTATTAATCTGTTCCAGATCCTTGGATGTATATCAAACTAACATTTTGAATAAGAAATAAAGGGAAAATAATTAATCTAATAGAAAAATTTATTACTATTATTATAACACTTAAATACTAAAAGTGGGTGAAATATATTATACATAAATGAAGTACTACACATGATAAACATAAATGTTTTCCTCCTACCCAGATCAAATGCAATTTTTCAACTCAACTTGCTTTAACATTTCTGATCTTTTCTGACAAAGAAATTATTCAAGTTATTTTATTGTGATTAGTACCTCAAGTTCGGAATTATTTTAAGCTCAAAAATCCAAGAATGAAGGAAAGCTTGTTCCAATTAGACATTAAATTCCAGAACTGATGCATAGCAGATAAAACTCAAAAGATAAGCTACGGCCAGAGGCCAAATGAGTAAAGTTTAAGGACAACGCCTCAGCAAAGACCGCATTCTGGGCTGAAAACAAAACTAAAGAGAAAGAAAACCTGGTTTACTTGGTCAAAGGCCAATATTGCATTTAAAAAACAAAGACAAGCCTTAATACAAGCATGTATATTAAAATTTCCAGAAGGCGATGAAAATTTAGAAATTTCGGCAGATGCCTCTGACTATGCAGTGGGAGCTGTTCTTGTGCAGAATGGTCAACCAGTGGCCTATTTTAGTAAAATGCTTAATCCCATGCAGAGAAAATACAGAGCTACGGAGCAGGAAATGCTCACAGTCCTGCTAGCAGTACAAAAACTTAGAGTTTACTTTGGAAAGTTGATGATCACTATTTATTCAGATCATGTGGCCATACGGCATTTATATTTAGAAAAGAACTTATCACCCAGACTGTAGGCCCCTCAAGAATTTAACTTAATTATCAAACACACTCCAGGAAAGGAAAACACGGTGTGGCCAATGTGCCTTCAAGAATAAAGTTTCAGGAAGCAATACAGTCAAGTGCACTATGCTTTCAGTGAAAATACTCGACTTATGTGAGGGAGGCAATTACAGAAGAATTGAAGAGGTTCCAAATTTAAAAATATTTACTCTTACCTGAAGGATCTGGATCATTTGAACATCCAATCATTATGGCAATAAAAAAATAGAGCCAAGAACTATGACCTTATAGATAATCTGTTATTCTATTCGAAGACTACAAATCAAAATTATGAGCTTAGACCAGCTATTCCAGTGAGTTTAAGGTTAAATATCCTAAATAAATTATATGATTCCCTATTTTTGACAACCTGGAATTATAAAAACAACATGAGTTTTTGAAGTGGTGTATCCTTGCAGGTCACGTTGTTAACTTTGATTCTCTAGCAATTAGAATTATGTGGCATTGAGTTTTCTAGTCGTTAGGCTTGTTTCCATCGTCAGAGCCAGCTTATACAATAACATATGAAACTGTTACGCTATATATAACTTTTGAAGTTATTCATCACCTTTTGAGTTACTGTGCATTGGCTTTAAGCATAAGGTTGTGCTCACTTGAAAGTTTATTTCAGTTAATAAACAGTCCTCATCGTCAAATATATTTTAGGCAAGCAAGAGAATGTGACATTATAAAGCTACTTCTCTTTTTTACCACCATGGTGATCCTAATCATCCTAATAATACTTATCTTTTGTTACTTGATGCTTCTCATTCTTTTCTAAAACATGCTATTAATGAATCAAAAAAAAATCTCAAAGGTTTCAGATTTTAAATTACGCCCAAAGAGGCATTTTTTAACGTTCTGTATGTTACCTTTATTTAATAAATAACATGTTCTTTGCACTTAAACCATAAAATTCAGTTCAATAGCAATGTCGCAATAATTTAAAGAGATATCTTTAAATTCTGAACACAGTTCGTGCACGAGATTAAAATTCCCCCCCCATAGAGAGTGTCATGCTCGCTTTAAATCGTGAGTTTTTATCACAAATCCGTCAAGTTTTACAAAATATGAATCGATAATAAAACAAATCCAAATTCAGTCTTATGCATGCCCTATTCTAGGAGATACGTATTCAAAATCGTTGGCTATGACGTTGTTTATCACTGCGAGAACTATACATAATTTATTCGATTTGTTGTGATTTAATATCTCAAATATAATGCAGGACTCTACATTGGTGGTACCAATTTGAAAAGTGAAACGGATATTTATAGCAATTCTACGCAAAATCGCAAAACGAAAACAATAGTCCTTCAGGGACAAAGCTCCTTTGGACTTGGGGGGGGGAACTTTAAAATCTCCTGCTTGCTGAATAGTAGAATGATGCTCATGAGCAGTTGTAGAATCATCTCAAAAAAGGCAAACAAGCTTAGTGGCGCACACAGTTGTGACTTGTCAAAATTAAGTCATGTATTAAACAAAAATTTTTGTGTCCAAACAAGAGGTATACTAAGTTGGATGTATTTCAAAAAAGATGTACATAGAGGAAGAATCACAGTTAATTTTTTTCCTTTTAACATTTAAAAATATTATTACAAACATGTACTCCCATTTTGAGTCTTTAATATAAATCATTATGTAATTTAAAAAATATTAGACGTGGAAAACAAGTTTTTTTTTTTTTTTTTTACCTTCAATTGCTTCAACTGCATTTTCATATACAACATTAACAATGCTTCCATCTAAAACAGCATCATGTTCATTGGTTTCCAGATCCTGAATAACACATTGAATAAATAAATAAATTAATAATTCCCAATGGAACTTCCGAATTAACAATGAAGTTTAAATTCTGAAGATACATAAGTTCAGTATAAAAACTGATTACTTATCTCATAATAATCAGAAATAAACATCACATATACAAAACCAGAAAATTTAAATTTTAGGTCTGGTGGACGATATTAATCCTCTGACATAGATTATTTTTTGTGATGTCGGTAAGAACATATATGTATGAGCATCTTAAAATATGTCAAAGAAATTAAGGCAATATATTAAAAGTACATAAATACAGGTATAAAATATCAGGGGCATTTTGACATTAAAAAAAACAAGAAAATAATTTTTTCTCATGGTAGTTTTGTGAAAATTTATGCCTTCTTAGTAAAAACCCAGGTCAGTCAAAAGGTTAAAATGTGGAGATTCATTATATAAAAGAAAAAGTCATAAGAAAAAATATTCTTTACAAGTAACATCATTATCATAAATTTTTTGTTTGTTCAAAGCAATTTTTACCTTCATCTTGTGTAACTGTAGTACTTCTCGGCGCTTCTGAATCTAAAGGGAAAAAATATGCAGGTTAGAAAAATTAAAACTAAAAAATAGAATTCTAATTTACAGTCTAAAATTATTGTAAAATACTTACCAAATCTATATACATCAATTCCATTCTGAAATACTGCAAATTAAAACATGAAAACAAATTAATAGTGAAATAAGACAGAAAACATATGGGGTAGTTATACATATGACAGAAATATTTTTAAATAGCACACATTATCTTATTTTACATGTGAATTATATGAATAACCTAACCTACGATGCAAGTCTTCAATACCTCCAATCATTTACATATTATATATATATATACAAGTGCATAGCAAAAGGTCATCATCAGAATATATATAATATGAAATTTAAAAAACATTGCTTACCTCTCGCCAAATAAGTTCTGATTTGGGATTCATCAGCACAGCTCTCTGCAATAATTTTCGAGCATTTTCAGGAGAATTATTATCCTCTATTTCCCATTTAGCAGCCATCACCCACAACTCTATTGAAGTAATTGCAGAAGTTTTTGATAAATATAATGAGATGAAACATAATTCAGTTTGTGTTTAATTTAACGTATTAAAATTGATTGAAAAGAAAAAAACAATTATAACATTCATTTTTAATTCAACCTTTTTAAATCCTGAAAATGACATTCAGAACAATGGAAAAAAAAAAAAAAAAAAAAAAAAAAGAAGAAGATGAAAAAATCATTAAAAGCAATGTATTTATCGGCATGCTAGACACGTGTTGTTAAAGTTTACCATATGGATAAAACCTTAAAAATGAAAGATCTAAGTTAAATATTTACAGAAAAAACAAAGTAGAACATAATTTTTATTCATGAATTTGAATACAATTACATAAACATAATAATAAATATTTTGTGTGAAAATCATCATTCTTACAAATTAAATAAGATTTTAATTCAGATTCATCACAATCATTTCTTTCTTTCAAAGAATTCTATCTATACTATTGATTCATATATATAATTTGACAGTTATCAAAGAAAAGGCACAAAAGTTAGATTTCAAATTGCATTTTGAAATCTTGGTGCCAGGTGTTTTGATGATGGTTTAAAACAAATCCCATCAAATTTATACAAATAAACAAGGAACAAATTTGGCAGCCAATAACAGTTGAGTTTTGAAAATATTCACCGATTTCAAGAACACTGTAATAAAAATGCTATAAATGGACAGCTTATTCACTTAATTCACAAAAGTATATTATAATTAAGTGTGTCTTTGAAACTAACTAAAGCATGATAATCTAATTCAAAGTTTCTTTTTTAAAAAAGTACATATATATTAATTCGGCCTTTCTGAAAACCAAATCATGCATTAATTAACTGACCTTTAAATACTCACAATGCAACTATTCAGAAGTCGGTGAGCTTTCATTTCAATTTTATTTCTCTTTAGTTTCAATGCAATTGGTCAAGTACATTATACCAAGAACATTTAGATTTACAGTTTGACCAGAATTGACTGACTACATTTAAAGAAAATTCAGAATATTTTGCAATTAAAATTCAGAATATTTTGCAATTTTAATTTTTTCTCTATAATTTAGTTTTTAATTTGATAATATAATGCATAAAATTTGCTAATTTCTTTATTATTTTTTAAATTAATATTAAGATGCACTGAAACACAACTGAAAAATTATACGGTCTAATAATAATTATAATATTGCCACATTATCACTTTCAAAAGACTGCCATCTAAACAGTGTTAGTGGTAGTGATGCTGACTGCTATACCGAAGAGCTCAGGTTCCAATCCTGGAGAAGGCATGGATATTTGTAAATGTGAAGTGCCTGTGTGTCATGGGGACTCTCAATGTATACAGTGAGCCAAAAGTCCTCTTGAATGGTTTGAAGGCAGGGGAAGAGGAATGGGAGACCCTCGGATCTGTCCCCAGGGCTGCTCTCTTTCAAAACTCGGATGGAAACGGGCAGTCATACTGTCACCTATATAGTGCTCAAGGTTCAAGCAGACAAAAACACAAATCTTACATTCCTCGTCACAATAAAATTTGTATAATTTTTCTATTAGGTCAGTGTGTGTGTGTGTGATTAAGGCAAAGCCTCGAGGGCTATCTGCCTAAGAGGAGGGATGCCTTCATGGAGGACTTTCTAAGGGAAACTGGCTCCTATACACGTTACACATGAGGAAAACCACGAAAACACCCATGCAGCCAGCCCGTTCGCGGGATTCGAACCTCGGACTGAACTACCAGTGTTCAGCGATTTTACCGCTCGGCCGCTGGTGGGCCCTCTATTAGGTCAGACAAGTCAGATTTACCACAACTACAACAATTTCAAAAGACTACAAAAAGGTATCATATCTAAAAAATATATATATAAAAAAAGAACTATTTAGTTGATACATGTTGTTTTACACAACATATTTGTGCATATGCAACAAAGGAAAGTAATTAATTCTTTTCCTCAATTTTCAGAGCACAATAGAACCAATCTTCTTTAACAATATACTCACAATACCTCAGTAGAGGTGATAATCTTAGACAACATAATTATTAAAGATGTTCAACACATCTCTTAGGTACTTAATTATCAAATTATTAATGACTGACATTGCGTTTTCTGAATAGTGCTATTTTATTTAACATTTTTTGGATATTGAAAATAAAACTTCATTCTTTCTGGCAAAAAAAAAAAAAAAAAAAAAAAAAGTTTCTCACATGTTAAAAATGTTTATAAAAATAAAAGATTGCTCTAGTACTTTTTTTGCAAAGTTTTTTTCTTTTAATTTTGAGTAGATCTCATAGACAGCACAAAAAATTAAATAATTTTATGATGACATGCCAATCAAAAGATAAGGTTATTATTTTGCTTCTGTTGGTATAAATATGCATTTTTCAAAATGTTGTGAAAATGCAATGTCAGATCAAAGTAACGTCTTTACAAATATACACAAATTTTCATAGGTAGTCTTATTTTGTTTCAGAGATTCCATAAAACAACTGTTCTGAAATAACAAATATCCAAGACAATGATTTTTAATGTTGAATGAAGCATTATATTTTATTAAGGAGTTAGATCAATATGACGTTTTAGAACTCTGTGACTTAACATCAGGTTATGATGGTCAAGGTGAAACAGATTTAATAGTGATTCGCCCAGAGACAGACATTGTGACTAATAGAGAATGCACTGATGACGAAGTGTTTCAAAATTTATCAATGCTGAAAAATGTATCAGGCAAGATCGAGATTTTTTCAACTAAGAATGTAAAAATGTACCAAATTTATCAAAAAATGATAAAAAATTCTCTCATCTAAAAAAAAAAAGAAATTACTTGGAAAATTTTTCTCCTGAACACACAGTGATACCTGTTAACAAAGTATGTGCTCTAAAAAAACTCAGTGGCGTAACAGCCCTAGTGGTCTAAGGCCTGCAGTGCCCGAAATCTGCTTTCTTGAAAATGGGCCTTGGAGTGCATGAGCATATGCCCTGAATAAGTGGTCAGCTTGTCGCAGGAATCCCAGTGTTTAGTCCCCAAGCGAACTTGGTACCCTTTTATCAACCCAAGTGATGGAAATCAAGGGATGAAAGGATGAGTCGACCTTGCCCAGCCTGGGGATCGAACCCCAGACCTGTGGTGCTGCTGTGCGATGCTCTAGCCACTGCGCCTTAAAGTATGTGTTCTACATACACTAATATCAGGCAGAAATTGCATTTTTCTAATAATAATGCATTTAATAAAACTGAAAAACTGGCAAAGGTTTGTCTCCATTTACATATTTAAAATGACAATTTCATCTTGTATGAAGTTTTTTTCAACACATCTTTCTATAGATGAACAAATGATACCTTATTTTGGTAGAAATATATGCAAAATTTTTCTCAGAGGAAAATCCATTCATTTCGAGTATAAAGTTTGGTGTTTTGTGTTCCGATGAAGAGAATTTAAATCATTTTGAAATATAGTCAATAAAATCTTCAGAGACATTGATTGATGTTGGATTAGGTGGAGATGTTGTAACAAATCTTTTAAGTGTAGTGAAAGTTTCTCCATATCATACTTTTATTTTGACAATGTTTTTTACATCACACATGTTGCTGTCAAAACTGAATGAACTGATATTTCATGTGGCTGGAGCAATTCTTGGGTATTCTTGAGGAAATTGTTTTATTATACCTGTAAATAATATTGAAAAAGAAGAATGTGGAACATATGACACTGCAGTAATGGACGGAATCGGTGGAATGACACTTCTGCCATAGCTGTGACAACTATGATACAATTTATCTGCCTTCAATAACAAAGAGGTACTCAAGAAAAGAAAATAAATCTGTATCCATAAAGCAACCTAAACTCATCAGAAATCACAAATATATCGATAGCTAGGACCTCTGAACAATTTTATTGCGATGTATATAGAGTGCCAGTAAAGTATAAGAAATGATGGTGGCCCATTTTTACGAATTTCATTGATGTAGCTAAATCAAATGCATGGAAACTTCGTAAGATTGCTGTAGACTCCAAAATTTACCTATCAGATTTTCAAAGAAGTGTTGTGCCAAGATTGCTGAAAACAAGAGAAGAATATTCTGAAAACTGACAGCTTTCATCTTCATATACTATGAGATGTGACACACACAAAAAAAGAGACTATGTGTAGCTTGAAAACAGAGTGGCGTTGGCAACAACTGTTTTGGTGATGTTATGCCACACACCTTCTCTATCCATGTGGCCAGTTTCGACTTAACTGACCATGCCAGTAGGGAGTACTGCATCATTTAGTGAACACCAACTGCATTCTGCCGGAAAAATGTCTAATGTAAAAACCGAACAACAGTGGAATGATAATGAATCAACATCAAGTTTCTTGTGAAACATAAGAAATCAGCCACAGAGGAAACATTTGTCTCATGCATATGTGTTTGAATGGCATAAGTGGTTTTCAAGGGGAAGGTACAGTGTGGAAGATGATGGATGTGCTGGGCAACCAGCATGTTCATCAAGATTGAATGGGTTCCCAGTGCTCAGACTGTTAATCAATACTCTTACATTGAAGTACTTCATGAAAAATTTAGGAAAAAAAAGGCCACAGTTGTGGAGTGATGGATGGCCATTGCACCAGGACAATGCCCCCACTCACACGGCCGTATCTGTCAAGCAGTTTCTGACCAGTAAAAACATTACTGTGTACTCTTTATTCACCTGATTTGGCTCCATGCAACATTTTTTTATTTCTTAAAGTTAAATATTACTTAAAGGGAATCTATTTTACCTCAGCTGAAGACATTCAGGCAAACATAGAGAATCTTCTGAAGGGCCTTCCAAAAACCTTGTTCCAAAACTGTTACCAGTAATGGCAGCATGTGAATGCTGAAGTGTGTGAATGCTGACGGGAATTACATAGAAGGTGATAATGTCACAGAAAACTGATTCTGTAAGTACAATGATTTATTGGATCAGTCTCTCTCTCTCTCTCTCTTTTTTTTTTTTTTTTGTGTGTGTGTGTGTGTCACACCTTGTATTGTGTTGGCCAACCATCTTTCTAATAAGGCGAAACAAGAAAGGATCTCACAAATAACATTATGAATTCAGAACTAAAAGATGCAAAACTTTGGTAGTCAAACTATGACTTTTTGTAATAAATGTTATGTGCCTTTGTATAGCAAATGTTGCAAAGATTTCCACAGAATCAGTTTTGACTGACGTTACATTTTAAAAACATTTTGTAGCTTCAATAAAAATAAATACTTTTCTTGTTAATTTTTTTTCCCTTAGACTCTAATATAACAAACAAACAAAAAAAAAAAAAAAATTTTTTTGTTCATTTCCTTCAAGTGAAGGATAGTGCAATTCTAAATGGAAAGCAAAGTGTGACAGTCAAGAGCAAACAGCATGATGAATCACAAAATATGGCACTTTGCAAAGATTATGTATGAAATCAAGGTGCTATATTGGTTGGCTGATTTTTAGATTTGTGAAACTGCATTAACAATTAAGTGCTCAAATTTCCAATGTTACTAACATAAACTTTATTCACTGCTTAATAATACAGCACAATTCCAGTTATATGACTTTGACTATCTGAATGGCTTTCAGAATTTTTCAGAATCAACTGAAGAAGAAGAGGAAAAGGAGAAAAAAGAAAAAGAAGCTCAAAAAAAGGAAAGGGAAGATGCAGGAGATGAGGAGGAGGACGAGTCACTTGAGGAATTAAGAAACATTCTTTTGAAAATTCGTGGATGTTCAGAAGTTAGTGCTGAGGATACAGCAAAATGGATGGTGTGATTTGGCAAATCCTGGGTTTCAGATTCTAAACGATGATGAATTTATTGAAAATGTCAATGTTGAAGTAGACACGAAACCATCAGTTAGTGAAGCATTTACTGGTCTTGAAACTGCATTGAAGTGGATGGAGCATTAGCTTGAGTGTGACCACATGCAACCATTCACTGTTAATTTTTTCACTGTTAAGTGAACTGTTAAGTGGATGCACAACTTGGCTGCCTGAAAACAGATGAAGACAGTCAAACAGCTTACTTTAACTGAGACGTTAAGCAAGCAATGACTTTCAGCACTTGTAAGTACTGTACAATATGCTATATAACATGTACGTAAAAGTGTTGCATTTTCTTTTAAATGAATTAAAACCTTTTTTCCTTTAAAAGTATTTTTTTTCTCTCATCTTCAACGTACAGTTTATATAGTAATAAATTAAAGTATACGTAGACCTTTTCTTTGGAAAAAATCCAATTATCCTAATGTGGTCCAGTCCAATTGATTCAGATAATTGCAGTTTTACTGTAATTAGCTACAAGAAGCTAAAAATCTTTAGCATACAAAATACTCCCAAAAGCATCCTTATTTTAGTTGTTGACAAAGAAATTTTATAAGATACATTTCTAAATGTTGAAATGCTTTCAAGAGGGTTTCATATTTTGCCCTTCCTCACAACTGTTGAATCTTTTGAGTGTGTGCATAAGTATCTTGATCTAAGAAACTCTATTTATAATTTACTTTGAAGTACTCAGATCCAGTTCTTTCTAACTTTGTTGTAAAGTACGACTGGATTGTATGATAGATCCTTCATTTATGTTACTTTTAACTAATTCATTAAATATTGCAGTTGAATTATTGTTTTAATAATTCAATAGCAATATTTGTTGCATGTTTTATTCAATAGCAAGCATTTGTTGTTCTCTCAAAATATATTCTTAATACACACTGGTTTAATATTTCTATAATGATGCACAAAAATTTCACTTAAATAACCATTTTGTTCTATTGTAACACCTCTGAAATTTATTTAAAGCTGCTATTTTGCACAGTACTAAAGTTAGTTTTTACCTCCAGGAAAATAAAAATTTCACAGCTATGGGAAAAGACTAAAATTTCAAAGCTATGGGAAAATAAAAATTTCAAAGCTATGGAAAAAGTGATTTAAAATGAAACTCCCTCTTTTTTTGTGTGTGTGATGTGATGATAAATTTGATTACCATTAAACTTTAATGGTGAAATAGCATTTTATTTTGTGATTAATTGCATAATTTACATTTAATGCAGAATTTTTCTACCCTGAAAAATTAACACTCCTTCTTCAGAAGATAAATCTCAGATTTTTCTTCCTTAAGAATGGATTTCCACACAAAGTGATTGTTTGAAAGACGCAATAAATTTACACTCCTGTTTACACTTTGCTAGAGTTATTAAGTTTCATTTTATGTTTAGCAAATATATGAATACCAATAACTGCATTTTTAGTAATATCGATCACTTTTACAGACAGTCGTCTTATGGAGATAGTCATTTTGAGAAATTCCAGTAAGACATACAATTTAAAATAAAAAAAAAATTCTTACCGGGAGATCTGCTGTGTACTTGCAGCATTCTGGTGTATAAAGCATTAACAGAATCATGCCATTTCTGAAAATAAAGAATACATTGAGAAAGCATATATGAAAACACACTATAAAAGCTCAATAAAATTTACAGCCTGCTAACTCGTACATGTTTTAAATGTATATTTAATAAAGATCTAGTATATATTAACTACCTGCCTATTTTGCCCATGTGCTTTTGAGCCGTAACTGATTTGCCCATATGCTCTATGGGCAATGTTATTTCTCTGTTGCATTTACTGTTTTAACCAAATCTTTTCTATTTTGAATATCAAATTAGTCACATAGATGGCAGCAGATGTCCATTAAGTGGTAGTTGTGAAATCTATTTTGTTCTACTCTGATTGAAAAGCACATGCTTGTTTCAAGTTTTTTGCATGACCAAGCAAATTTTTATCATTCAGTGTTTAACTTTTCACCTGTACATTACTGTTTTTTTTTTTTTTTTCCCATAAAATAATGGTTGAATTAGAATGTATGCAGGTAATTTCTTAGGATTCAGACTTTGATTCGGAATCAGAACTGAAATGCCTGTAAATGAGTCTGGGAAGAGTGTGACTTCATTTGACTGACTAAAATGCATGCAACAATAGAACATAAAGGAAAGGTTTTCCTGAATGTTTACCAGCTCTACTAACACTAGCAAAAAGACATTTTCTGTAAATGATTTTACATACCGGGGAGGGGGGAGGGAAACTGGCAAGATAGCGCTTTGTACATTCACTGAAGAAAAACAGTAACAGCAAAAGAATTAGAAAGGAGACTGTCTCACCTTGTTTTAAAACATCACATTATTGTAATTGTAATCGAATATAATTCTACCTTTTATGTATATATGCAACTGTGAATGTAACTTCCTTGTTAGGCACTCATGTAGGAAGAGAAGGTAACTTCCACGGAAAATATTTTTATTTTATTTGAAAAAAAATTTTTTTCTTAATCCTTAAAAATATTACAAATGTTAATTTGAATAAGATTTTCCAGTTTATGAATGTAAAATGAACACAAAAGTGCAATGAAAAATGTGACATTTTTTAGATCGAATTTGGGGAAAAAATTTAAATACCTTCAGGGGGAAAAAAATGAAAGTAGTTATAAATAAAACAAAGGGAAAAAAAGTGCATTGTACAAAATTACTTGCTGTCCTCTTTCTTTACCATTAAACTTAACTGTTCATAGCAGTTCAGTTTTATAATCAGAATTAATGTATAATGCGTATGGAAATTCTATAGATCATAAGTCAATTAAAAAAATTAGCAATATTTAGAGGTTTTATTTCCAGGGTATAAAACATTAAAAAATAATATACATACCATTTTTATACAATATTGGATCTGATCTAGCCATAATTTTTCATCTTCTGGAAAATAAGAAATGGCTCTCTGAAATAGTTTATACAAGAATATATTAGTATCTTAAATGCTATTCTATATAACCAGCTATTAACAAAAATTTAGAAATATATCTTTATTTTTCATTTTTACACAGAAATGAGGGAGGAAAATACCAAATTAAATTTTAGATAGAGACAAGAAATATACAAATAATCATCAACAAAAATACTTAATTCATTTATAAATTATGAATGTAAAAATATGTAAAAGATTTATAAGTAGTCTGCTTTGCACGCTTAAGTTCTGAATTACATAATCTTTTTCTATAGCATGGTTCCTCATTTGCCTACATTTCCTTTTTATGAAAATGGCTTCACAAGTTTTCATACCTGAAGTTGGTTGAAACATGGTCCCTGCCCCTTTTTTAAATAAAAGAACAAATTCTTTCACAGATTGCATTTGAATGAGGTATTTTTTTGCTATAGCAGAATCTGGAAACACTGCATTTAAAAGCTGCTTCAAATGGTCTGAAATTGAAATTAGAAGGCTGTGTTCTATTAAAAGTGGCTCTGAGAGTGGTGTTATAAGCCTTACATAAGTAGTTTTGGCTATGTGCCAGCACTAACTTCGAACTCAACTGGAATGTAATGACTGCTGAAATGTTTGCTAGTGCTTTTCTGTTTTCTTAATAGACAGTATTTTGCAATCTACAGTACAATGACATTATATATCGAAATTTAAAAGCACTGTATTAAAACCAATGCATAAGTGAGTGCATAAGTATTGGGAAAGTGCATGCAGCCTGTGAGCCACCAGTTTGAGATCACTTCTTTAATGAATGAAAATTCTATAGAATTCAAGTCTTTAAATTTCTGGCCTCATGATTTTAACCTCTTATTAAGAGGCGTAAACAAGCGCTTCACAGCAGGTTGCTTGACTAGAAAAATAAGAGTGGGAATTCGCTGAACTACAATAAGTTACTCTTTAAAATCACCAAATAATTCAACTTAATATGCGGCACATGAAGTCACGAGCATTTTGCCCATCGTTCAAGGAATAAATTATTTCTGCTTTGCATTCCCTTATCCTCTTTCAGTAAAATACGATTTTTTTAAAAGTATTTTCTATAGTTTGTAAGTTCTTAAAGAATTCTATAGAAACTATGAAAAGCCCTTAGTAACAGGAGTCTATGCAAACCTCCCAATATCTAGCCAGATATGCTTCAATTTACACTATGAAGACATGTGGTAAGAGGGTGAAAATACCTTATCGAGTTAACAAATAAATATTAGATATTAAAAAACTAAATTACTATTTGGAACACTGAAAAATGTACCTACAGCTAAAGATATGATGCTTTTAAAAATTCTGTAATTGTTATGCTATAGATTTATGATTAAAACATAATATCACCAGAGGATAACTACAATCAATGATACTTTCATATCAAAGCACGAAAATAAATGTGTACATGAGCACATAGAATTACAATTGTCCATTTGTATGGGAGAATAAAATAATAAAAAATGAGCAATGTTTATAATTAACACTGGGCCATAGGCAGGTCATAAGCAAATTATACATTATTTACATATGATCAACAGGAAGTGATAGTTTATTTAAAGCTCATTATTATTCCACCAGTTTCATGTCTTAGGATGGAATTGGTGAGAGGTCATGTCTTGGCCACATCAGTCTTTTCTTATAAAATGCTTCATTCTATTATTATTTATGAATAGTACCTGTGAGCCATACAGATAACCAAACAGATGTGCTTAGCCAATTCACAAAGTGGCAAAGAGCTTGTGATTTTTCGTGGAGTGAGAATCATCAGAAGTATATTTTTTCGAATATGCCTTTCCCACACACTCCATTTGAATTGAAAACATCCAGTTACTTCCAAATAAGCTTTTGTTGTTGTTGTTTCCCAAACACAACAAAAGCTTTCATGTGTGACTGAAAACATATTACATACTAAGTCTTAATGAAGCTTCATCACTATGAAGTGAAATAATTATCAAAAAATTCAGAATGCCTGATTAACTCTTTTATTACTGTTATTTTTAAAAATGATAAAGGAGTAAAATTATTATCTGTGATGATAATTTTAATCCTTTATCATTTTTTAAAATTATTATCATGTGAGAATTTTAAACCATAAAAATATAACTATTGAAAATAATTGATCAATTTTGGAAAAATTATAAAAATTGGTAAACTAGGTTACAGATTTTGATCCAACATGGTTTATTAGAACTTTTTATCTCGTCTATCTGATAATGTAAATAGCTACATTTCAGGATTATTAGTTTGATCATATAAAGCGAAGAAATGAGCAATGATTCTCCAAAATAGTTCTGAATACTTCTGACAAACATGTAAACAGTAATTTCTCAAGTAGCTTTAAATAACATGAACTTTTTAACTGCTATCACCATTAAGAAAAACTGTAACTGTGCTATAACCATTTAAGAAAAATTTTGCTGTTGGCATATTTTGAATTGACAATTATTTTTGCATTCATTAAAACGGATAATTCATTTTTGTAAGTTTCTGGATCATAATTTTCATGAAAAAATACTATTTTTAAATATGAAGAAAGAGCAAAAAGGACATACCTTAAATAAACGGTTGACTTTTTGTGCAATAGCATTATCAATTTCTTTCTTTTTAGATTCTATCATAAGCCTCTGAAAATCATGTACTACTCATATAAATTTTTATACATTTAGATTAAAAAAATATGACAGCAAAAACTATTGCAAATATAAAATTTCAGATAACTAAATTGACGAGGATCTATGAAATACTTTTCAACTTCACAGATTTTTAATATAATCATTTTAACCTGCAAAAATACTAATTATTAAACAGAGTTGCCAATGGAAATGAAAGGAGAAAATTAAGTAAGTAAGTAAATAAATAAATAATAAAACAAATATGTTGCATAGCAACTTAAAAAAAAAGCAGAATTACATTTTGTACAACATTCAACAAATTTGGAGAGTTTTATTCTGATTGCTATGAAAATAATTACCTAACTTAATAAAGAAACTATAATGCAGCACAAGTATACTTGTTTTTTTAATGTGTTTTATAAATTAAACACAAAAAAAGTACAGCAAATGTTGATAAATACCAATACTGGAATAAAAGTAGTTTCCAGTACTCATTAGACAAAACAAAATACTTAACAGATAAATAAAAGTCTAAGTGCATTCCTGCCCTTGAAACTATAAAATCCTTCCCCCCAATTGACAATCCCTGCACTATAACCTACAGGAAATTTTGAAAATGTTGGGTTTATTATGCATGCATAAAATATGCAGACAGATAAATGTGACAAAATAAATACAAAATCTAGCCTAAAAGTTATCAAGATGTTAGCATATAAACACTTGCAGAATATACACAGTACCCACTGCTAGTAATTGAAGTGGTAACAAAAGTAAACCTAAATCATCTGCTTTAATTGTATGCTCTGGTATCAGAATAATTTCACAGCCACTTCTTGTTGCTAGTATTGTAGTGGATCTAGGTGTTGTGAATATCTGCTTAAAATGCATATAATATTCATTTTGCCTTAATTCTTTATTTATTGAGTACATTGAACATGGCAGTAAAATATGAAATTCCACAGATTCAATGTATTTGGCAGTATATCCCAAATTTCAAATAACATATTAACTTTCATATTTCATATGAATTGTGTAACGTTTGGATAATAAAAAACAAGCATTAATTAAAATATACCTATCACAGTGCCATATATATTAATTTTTGCTACATACTGGCAAAGCAATTCCCTTTCCCTCTGCATTTATGAGTTTATTTAAAACATCACTGAAGTATCATTTTTTGTTAAATCAAATTCTACATATATCATGAATCTATGATTATTTTCTTTTCCTTTTTATAAATTTAAGTCTGTTTATTGTCAAAATACAATTAAAAGTAAACTTATATAGCAATTTCAAATGTGCATTGAGAAGGATATTTATTCCACCATTCAACTTTAAGCATCTAAAAACTATACAGTTTTCACTGTGAATCAGTGACTAAATATTTAGAATGATAATTGACTGCTTTAATAAGAGTTATAGGAAAAGAGAAACAATAATGAATACTGGTTTGGAAATTACATCATGAATTGATGCTAAATGATAAAAGTACAACTTGCGCTGAATTATAAACTGTACAATTTAAATACTAAACAAATTACAGCAGACAATACATACTTCTCTCTTCTTTGAAATTAACATCAAAAGAGCCATTTCAAACTATAAAAGAAAAAAAATACATATATTGAAGTTTTTTGCTATAAATATTATTAGTTTTCAATACTTCCAAAACATTACAAAATTAAGAACATTCTTTTAAGAAAAAGAGGGAAAGCACACAAGAAGAATACATTCTTAGATAAAGTTTAACTGACACTTGTACAGGTACTTTCAGGGAAACCCATTATCTGAAATTATTAATTCTAAAGCATTAATCTATGACAGTAATAGCTTCATAAAATGTAGTGGTGATAATAAATGCAGTATTGAGAACACAGGTACTAAAATGATTCCACATGGGATTATAGATGAGTCAGTTCTTCATTATGCATGAAAATGCATGGATCTGACTGAATATAGACATGCTAATGATTCCATACTACAGCAAGAACAAAATATCAATGAATAAGGTCTTTCCTCCGTATTTTGCCTTATAAACCAAAAAATATTTCATAACTCACACCCAGTTAACATATAATATTAAAATAATGGCACATTCAAAGATCTAAATTAAAATTGGGCCCCACCAGCTGAATGGTTAAGACTACTGAATAGTGGGACTTTAACTTGAGTTTAATCAGAGACGAATGGGCTGGTTACATGATTGGTTTTCATGGTTTCTTTCATGAGTAACATAAATATAAGCCAGTTTTTCTTGGAAATTCATTTCATGAAGGCATCCCTTCCCCTTCGGCAGATAGCTGTTGTATGTTTTAACATATTCCATTAATGCAACCTAGCTTGGTATTTTAGACCTATAAAATAAAAAAAATATGTCATAGGCTAACAATCTGATGACAGGAAAACATTTGTGTTATGTTTCTACTGCCTAATAACCTTATGCAACGAACAGAACAAGGAGTTATTCAGAATTTAGAGATGGACTACCGATCACTTTTTACGTGGTCAATGTGCGAATTTTGAAGCTAGTGTCCATGAACCTTTTTTTGAAATGAGAAACATGATCAATGAACATTGCATGCTAATATTTCTAAAGATGGGATCACAAAACATGAACAAGTAAGTTCTAGAAATACATGCTGAAATATCCTTAAAAATCTCTTATCCAGAATCACAAAGTCCCATTACTGCAATTGAGAGAGTTTATTGTACACAGTTGGGGTTCTATACAGTTAGCATCACTTTCAGGATATTTTAAAATACAGCATTTTTAGTTACAGTGTATTCTGAATTATACGGTTTGTGGATGGGGGTGTTCATGGATGTACACTCAGCACCATGCATGAGAGTATGTAAAAAAACAAACAGGCATAAATTTGATTATGGAGAAGGATTCTTCCTCACATAGCAATCAGAGATTTATGTAATTGGGATGAAGTGAAGGCAATAACTGAAGTTGTATGCCAAAAAACTGAAAATGTAAAATTCTTAGAAAATGCCGATCAGAAAAACATCAGGGAATGGTTCAATAGCAATTCAACTGAGTTGGGTTTTCAAGCTTTGAATCATGTGGATGATTTTGTTTCAAATGTTCACAAAAATAAAAGTGAAACAGAGGGGAAAAGCACAGTGAAATTTGACAAATATTTAAACGTTCTCAAAAACAAAGTAAAATCACTGATTTTTAAAAAGAAATTAACACATAAAATAGATAGTTTCAATTATTCATGTTTTTTAATTATCCATTATCTACTTCCGACATCAGCCCAGATGATCAAGGTTTCAGATAGTATTTGAATTTGTAATACAATAAGACAGTAGTTCTCAACCTGCTTTCCTACCCATTTCACCACTGTTAGATGATCATTCCCCCTTTCCAAAACTCAAAAAACACAATATATTTATTTAGATCTAGTTTTTCCTTTAATTAAATAAATATTACATCTTTATATAAATTAAATAACAAAAAGTACAGAAAATGTTGATAAATACTAAAACTTGAGTAAAAGTTTTTTTTTTTTTTTTTTTTTTTTTTTTTTTTAATGTTCATAAACTAAAACTGCTAAATAAAAGGTTTTACTGCTTAACCCCCTGAAGCTGTGAAATCCTCCCAACAATATCACATAACAGGGAATGCACTAATTTATTTAAGCCTACAAGTACCTCTTTTCACCATGACCAGCAAAACTTACAATGAAATAGAAGTATGTGCAGTGTAAGTGAGCAATGGATGACATATCATATCTCTTTTTTTCACCTGCGGAAGACTTCAAACAGGAATAGCATATAGTAATGAAATTTTCAAACTAGTCTCGAGCACTTTTACTACTTGGTACTGTACTACATGTAGGCTGTTATATGTAGAATATACTAAATAATAAACATTATTAAATGCCATCACAGCCAGATTTAGACTTGATAAGGCCCTAAGCTATTTGATATATGGGGCCCTTTATAAGTCTGTTATAATATATTTTAATGATATTTATACTATATTTTAATTTTTTTGTTGGGGGGGGCAAAGCTAGAGCTTGTGTAGCTTATACGTAAATCCAACCCTGTTTGCCATGCAATTTAGCTTGACACTGTACAACGAGAAAAACTCACCAGCAAACTACATAAACGGATGTAAAAGCTGCTGCTGAATTAGGCTATATGCTCAATACCTTAAATTCAATATGATTTTTAAAAAAGGTTTTTTAAATGTGAACTTAAGTTATACTTCTTTTTTAAGATTACATATTTTTTATAATTTTTGTTACATACTAAAACAAATGAAACAGTATAATAGAAACTAAATGTTTCGAGTATACCAGCAAATTGTAATAATAAATTTTTCAAAAAATAACATATTAGCAAAATTATGGTTAAGTGGCCACTACAAGCATTTTGACTACATTTAAAATTAATTTATTAACAAATAGAAAATGCTATGGCAACCTTAAAAAAATGAAAAATTTTAGTCATCAAGTTTCAATGATATTTCATACAAATTATGCGTAAAGACACTTTCCTGAGCCTGCGGACATTGATATTTGCTCTCAAAGTCAGTGTAATTTTATTTAACAGTATGTTTCTGTATGCTGTAATCTTATCCATATGCTGTGCAACAGCCATGGTAAGTCGTGACGTCACATTTCTGGCATTTTCTCGACTTCTTTTTTGTGACATTAGGATTACTCCGTCCATTTTAACCTCCTTGGACTGCCCTGAGAATCATTGAAGAGTTTTATTTAAAATTTACAAGAATCTAAGGTTCCTTTTCTGTCTAATTAAAAAAAAAAAAAAAAAAAAAAAAAAAAAAAAAAAAATTATGATTGGTAACAACTTTTTTGGCTTCTGCATAACCTTTGGTGACATTTGAGTGTACTCTGCAAGCTGGGCAATAAGGCATGGTGGCTACTTTAACGAGATACCTTTTTTATTAACATTTTACCTTGAAAACCTCATAAACAAAGTTAAAAACTGTTCACAGCCATGGTACAATATTTTACCACGCACTTTATTTTAACTGCATAACATGGCATTTATAGATTTTTCCTTGTTTCAGCACTGTATGATCTTTGATGAATTTAGTAAACTTTATCACATGATATTTTTCTCTATGGTATAATTTTTAAGAATAACAAGCTAAAACATTTGTTAGGTCAAGTAACATTTACAATTAATGTAATAATTAAAAAAAGAAACATTTTAAGATTTAATTTTAAAAAAATTCTTGGTATATTGAAGCAAACTGCAATGGAAAAGCACAGATACATATTTTAATTAGGGAGACTTTAAATAATTACACTGCAATACCAGATAGAAGTACCTTAATATACTGAAGAAAGTCTTCTTTTCTCTTCTTGTTTCGACGCAGTTTGTATTCGAAAGCTTCTCTCTTTTTTACAATTTTCCTACAAAAATAAATAAATAAATAAATAAATAATAATCAAATATGTTATAAATTTACAATGTTTCATTTAAAACAACATACCAGCTCAAATACTACACATTATAAGACCAAATCTGTAAAATATAAGAAAACAAAATACCTTATTTCAGACAAGCTAAACAAACCCACACGTTTCATTTCTTCTAATTCAGGAACTTCATATTCCAACCGTAGTTGGACCAATTCCGCCATTTTGAATTAACTAAAATAATTTAAACAGTGATATGATTGCTAAAAGTATTAACTGCTCATTCAGTAAAGAAACAGATTTTGAATGAATTGAATTTACAAATGTAAATATACATAACTGCAAACAATAAAACTCCTGTTACTCAGATTTCTCGTCCCCCCCACACACACACTTAAAAATTAAACTTGCTGTCAATTAATTTATTTAATGTAATTCATTTTTGAATACAAAAAGATAAAAACAACATAATGCATACATTTAAAAGAAGCTTTTACTTTATATGAATATACTATATCACATGGTTTACCCCCATGCATGGTTTACAACCAAACAATTACAGCAAATTCCTTCTTATAACGCACACCTGTAATTTCAAACTACATTTTAAAATTTTTAGGTATATTCACTGTATCATGTGCATTTTTTTCTTTACAAAACAACTTGAAAGATAATATGTACTACGCTCTTATCTTTCGAAGTAATTCACTTGAAGATTTTCCCTAAGCTTTCGAACAGTGGTATACTGAAATGACAAGTCATAAGAAGAATGATATATGTGTGTGTGGAAGAAATGCTTGAAGGAATAAATAATTCAGCAAAGAGGATGGTTTGAATTCATCGCTGGTGTGCACAAGTATGTTATTCTAGGGTTCAAGAGAAGGAGACATAATTTGGGATACGAATGTACTTTCGACCCGAATGAATTCATCGAATTAGGACTCGGATGTTTTCTCTTTTTATAGTCTTATCTTTCTGTGATTTAAGTGAACATTGAAGGCTTTAGCAAATCACAATTGCTTTGAAATACAGATGATATAGTGTTCCTTTTAGTAGTAAAATATGGCTCCTGCCAATCAAAACAAACATAGTGCTGGTTTCAAATGCAAAGTCATTCAAATTGCGAAAGAAAATGAAAATTGTTTTGCAACAAGGATACCTGGTTTTGGTGAAAGCACCATACTTGAGAGGAAGAAAAATGATATCATAATATTTAATATGCCAAAGAATGAATGTGCTTCGCCTAAAGGAGTAAAGAAATGGCCTATCCTAGAAGAAGGTGTTCAAACTTCATTGTAGAAAATCGGGAGATTCACGAGAAACAGCATTTAGGTACATGTAGAAATCTAATTTTTCCTTATATTTAAACTTATCATTTTTATACCTGGAGTTATAATGCATACCATAAATTTTGATCTTATTTTTTGTATTAAAAGTGCAAGTTATACGAGGGAATATATAGTAATTATTTTTTATTACAAGAGAATTAATATGCCTTACGCATTCATGTCATTTAATTTACTGAAACTTCACCACATAGCTGTCCATAATATGTAGATTTTGCCAATTGTATGTTATCAAAAACCACTTATCAACATGGAATAGAAAAGAAATTCCACATTATATATAAGTTCTCTTTTTCTTTATAATACTGTTTGCTTACTCCATGAATTATGATTTAGCTATAACGTAAGCTTCTTTTCTAAAAATAAACCAAATTATCATAGTAAGCTTTAAGTGTATGCTCACCCTCTCTCTCAGAGAAAGAACTTTTATTTAGCAATACAGCGAATGACTAGTCAGATAATTTACATCTAAGGTAGAGGTTGCATAGCAAAATGCAAATAGGCAACCAAAATTAGCCCAGAACTCAATCCCACAGTCACACCATAACGGTTTAAAAAGAGGTAGGCCAGATCTGTACGTCAGTTCCCAAACAGTGATAGTTTCATGTAATCCGTGACATCAAAAGCGGAAAGCACGAGTCGAAGACACCATTTGCACAAAGAAGTGCGTTAGAAGGCTGCCAGGATGCTGCAAAACAATCCACTGCTGTGAGAGAGCTGAATGTGCATCATAGTGTCATCAATAATCTGTGAAATTGTTACCAAAGGGATCAAGAATGAATGTAGAAAATGCAGCCGGGTGTAGATGCTGGAGGATTACCACAAAAGCAGACGAATGCTTTTTGTTGCTAAGTGCAACACGATATGTATCACTATCAGCACGGCAGCTGGCATCATATCTCTCTTCTGCTGCAGGATGCCCCATATACCCACAAACTGTGTTGCATTGACTGCATGAATGTGGACTGTGTGCCCAACGACCTGTGGTTTGTGGTCCTTTGTTTCCATCGCATGCCACAGCATGGCTGAACTGGGCCTATGAACATAGCAGTAGGGCCACGTATTCTTTACAGATGAGTCTCGATTTTTAATGTTTAGAACAATTCCCAAAGGGCAATAATATCATAAGAGCCAGTGACATGCTATAGGGGGCCAAACATCGTTGAAAAAGATAATTACAGAGAAGGAAGCTTACTTGTATGGGCTGGAATAATAATGAACGGCCACACCAACCACTACGCAACTCCTGCTGGTTTCATCACAGCCATCTGATATCCTGAAGAAATTCTACAACCTCTTGTGCGTCCTTTTTTTATCACTGCAATGGGTACCAACGTGATATTTATGGACGATAGCATCCCCCCGCACAGAGCTCCAGTGATGCAAAGTTATCTGAAGAGTGAAACCATTCCACATCTGCCTGAATTCCAGACAGCATGTGTGGGACATGTTGAGATGATGCATAGTTGGTCTCAATGTGCTGCCAGGCATCCTCCATAAGCTCTGACATGCAATTTTACAGGAATGGATGCTACTGCCATGAAAAGCAATCAACAACACTACTGCCAGCTAGCCTTGCCACTGTCAAGTATGCATTTCAGCTAGATGTTATCATACTCATTACTAATGTGACCTTTTCCCTGCATATTCTTCTGACATGTTATTTTGATGATGTGATAGTCATAAAATGTGTTTTTGTATGTCTTTGCTTTATTGTTGGCTATGTAGTCTAGTAATACCACACCAAAATCTTGGATCAATTTCATGCATAGTCATTAAATAGTTTTTGTTGGTTGATCTTTACATTATGGTAACTTGGCGTTTTTTTGGCGAAAATTTGCCGACCAACTCTCCTACAGCAACCCTCTATTTTTTTTTCCCGCCGCCATTTTGTCTTCACGAAGTAAAGACATGTTTCTTTTCTTTTTATCTACTGAACACTTCTTCCAACAATCTACTAGCCGAATTACACTTATGCTAGAAATTTTTATCTAACAAAACTGCTTAATCATGACAAATATTCACTGCCAAAATTGGGAAAAAAGTGCACAATACCATACTCCTTACGCGTTTTTCAAAAAACACATACACATAAACCATGTACACGCCAACTTATTTTTACTTTTTAAAAAAACTTAAAAAAACATCCAAGAATTGCACAAAAATGGCATTGCGCACACTCTTCACTATATCCATGTATACTGCTTTTTTCTCATAAATTAGAAAAATTTCACGAAAATACATGACAATTTTCTGAATCTTTAAACCCGGTAAAAAGAACATATATGAAATTATCTGATCGTGAAAAAGTAATGAACATTTCCACATATAAAATAAATAAAATATCCAAAAACTTTTACCTCTAAATCATCTATTATATTATAAACATCACCAACGAATTCATACCGCAACCATTACAAATACTTACTGTCAGATATTTAAATTATTTCCATGCACGTTTACTTCAACTAAAATGTATACCAAATTCCTACAAACATAAAATTCACAAAATAACTATCATTTAATTAAAATATAATTAAATTCAAAAACACTACTTAAAATATAAATGAGCACATACATTAAATTAATACATACATAAATACCCATTTCGAATTCACTTTAGTTACGGCCATGGGATCCAAAAATTCACGAAACACTGTTTCACCAACACAGAATAAAGCCAAATACAAAATTTCCAGATTTTTTCCCAATTTCCCCCCTTTTCCGATTAAAGAACCGTAATTCGTCCATTAATATCACATGACATATCCCATGATCTCTCATTTCCCTCACACAAAATAATGCGTAATCGGAACTGAGTACTGCTCACATTATTACCAAAGTGCCAGGTAGTAACCTTCATCGCCTCCAAAATGTCGCCAAACTACCAGTTACCATATTGTAAAGATCAACCTTTTTGTTTTATTCTGTGTTTTGCCATTATTGCTTATTTTTAGAGCAGGTATGTATAATGTTTGCTAAAAACCAAATATGCCTTCCCCGTCTTTTTTTTTTTTTTTTTTTTTAATTTGCACTATAATAAATATTTGTTAGTCTACAGAGATAAAGAAAGAGAAAATTTCACCAGCTGTTAATCCTAGTCAATTAATTAAGTTCAACTAAATCTTAAAATGTATAGAAGACCAAAATAGTACATTTTGGAAACTGCAACAGTTTGGAACAAAACAAAAGAAAAAAATTGGTCAATTTCAGAATAAATATTAACTCACAGATATTAAAACACTGATACTATTTTGATCCTGAATAAGTTTCACATCTATGTTATCCTATTTTTGCTTTATTTATTTGAATAGAAATTTTACACATACTAAGTTGAGAACAGAGCATATGCCTCAGTCACTTGTTTTCTTACTTTCATAAAAAGGAAAAAAGTAAATTAACAGAAGTTTTGCAGAAATATTGGGAGTACAAATAAGTCTTTGCCATTTGAAAAAAAAAAAAAAAAAAAAAAAAAAAAAGGCACCACCAATACGGTACGGTTAAAATTATCTCATGTAAAATGACATATCATAAAGTTGGACATCTGCTAACAATATAATCTTGAAATATTAGCAATTTTGTATCAGCATCCTGTATTATTTTTTTGTAAAAATATTGAGTTTTCAGCCAAATGGAGTGTCCTTTGTGGGAACTTTTGATTTACTCTTTAATTTGCAGAAATTTGCAGCTGAGACATATCAGTTGTTTGTAAAAGCATATGGTGAAACTGCTCTAAATGCAGCAGAAGGATGAAAGTGTATGAAGATGTGGAATTGGAAGCATTATTGGATGAAGATTCAATCCCAAACCCAAGTAGAACTTGAACTTACATTACTCAACAAGTGACTCAACAAGCAATTCACACCCACTGAGAATTATCCAAAAGCA